TTCTTTCGCTCAAATTATTTTAAATTTACGAGAAAAAAATAAATATAGAAGGAATGAAGAAGTTAAGGTAGTCCTTTCACTGTTAGCATATTATTATTTTCAATCGATAAAAACCAGGTTATTTGTTCATTCAGAAATTCATTTCGTTCCTGTATCCAGACGATTCTTCATTTAAAAACAAGTTGAAAATATTCATAAAACTTTTTCATACGCAGCTTCATGTTCGCTTGCATTTGAATTTTACTTTACCACTATGTCTGACCATAACTGACTGTTTCTACTTGTTTCTGTGAGGTTACATTTAATCTCCTGCATATCCAAGCTTTTAGGATCTAATTCCTTTAAAAAAAAAAACTTAGGAAACTTGCTATGAAAAAATGTAATTTTACCTTTTCTAGTTATTTTCACATAGCGAATGAGCTTTCCCTCCCTCGCTTCTCTCTCCACCCTTGGTTGTACTATTAGTAATAGGGAAGTCAAATTTTCAATCTTATTTTGCGTTCGAACATAAATTTTAAATGTTACTTCCTTATGTCCTTTTCACTTCGTTAGTTACAATTTTATTATTATCATTATCATTATGAAATTTTAACGTCGTATTTCCGGCGATACTTAATGAATCTTTTCAAACGAGCAATTAAGTTGCAAAGTTAAAAGTAATAATTTCCCAGCGTATGTTTAATTAATATTAATGCCCCGCGAAGTCTCGTAAAGTAGAACATCTTGCTTGCTATAATTGGAAACTTGCGCAATTTTATAGTTTGCTATGATACATCACGAAATTGTTTAACAATCTAGTTTTGCAATCAGAATCCCCAATTATATTTTTATACCATAAATACATAAATACCCGCAATCTAATAATAATATTAATAATGATATTATTTACACATTCACGTCACTTCAAATTCTATTCCTAGTTATAAAAAAAAATTATGAAAATTTTTTTATTTTATAATTACATATCGTAACATTGATATTTCAAAACATATTTTGTAATTTCTATATTTCCCTTAACGATGCAAATTGGAGTTGTCCGCCTTCAGTATTTTATTATTTTCGATATTAGAAACGTAAAACATCTGCTTAAACGTGCAACTTGGCTATCACCCTAATCTCTCATCTCTGGCTAAACGCTATTAAAAGTGGGATTCATGTTTGACACGATTCTCGACCAGGGAAGAGCCTTTGAACAGACAGCCGAGGTAATCCTACCGTAGCCACTACTTGAATGCAATGGAAGACACATGACCCGTGAAGAAACGTGGAAACTGAGAAACGGATGAAGGAAAAAGCCGGGAGCTCGAACACAACCAGTGATTCGAAGGATTTGCAACGACATCGAAGCCGAGGTTTCGCTTGGTCCTACAAAAATTTCTTCTCTAACGGAACCGTTTCCCTCGCAAAAAAAAACCCATCGTTCGACGACAACCTCGCGCTTGCACGCGCGCGGCTACTGGATGCGTTTCTACTGATTCCACGAGGAATTAAAACGATAAAAAGTCGGGAAAGAACGCTCGGCGCAGTGGAACGTGGGGAATCCTGTATTATCCAACGGGCGAAGTGAAAAGTTGCTGCAGAAGAACATTTTCCAGCGGGTATTCATGAGGTCGAATACCACTGCAACGATCTGTACAGGTTGGCTCAAAAACTAGCGTCACTGAATAAAAATACGAATATGTAATATAACAAGGTAACTCTAGAATGATTTCTCTTGCGTTTCTGGAGTCACCTGAGAGTTTCTGTCAAACTTTAATTTTATGGTGGTCTTGTCTCCGGAGAAAATCATTTTTTTTCGTTTAGAAGAAAAAGAAAGTCACAAGTATCCACGACATTTAGTTGAAGAACTACATTTTATAGATTGCTATATATTATTCGATTTTATCAGTTTTGGATTAGAGGAATTGTGGCGATAACTCGCTTTAATTCATCGCGCGTTGAACAGTAAGGCGTGTACGTGTAATTTTCGTTCGCCTACATTTTATTTGAATGAACGTGTATGCTTTTGGAGCACTCTGTATATGCGAAACATTTCTCTTCGCGGTAGCTCTTTACAGCCAGCGAACATGCATTTCTCCAACCGAGCTTCCAGAACTGGAATCGTTCCAAAGACTAAGGGAAGAAATTTTGAGTCGAACCTCGAACTTTGAGACACACGTACGAGTACGCACCACCGATGATGCATCATCCATATTTATTAGCTTCGCGAAGTGAAATGTTCGAAAACCAACTGATCGCGCTGACAGGGGAGACATTCGTTTGAAAAGCATTAATCTTCGAGTGTCGGTTAAAATATTGGTTTCAAATATTAAAACGTAATATTAAAGCTCTACATTCAATGAAAAGTACCTTACAATCCACCCTCAAACTGTGGTCCGATAAAGTGACTTCTCCACTTCAATGGATTCAATTTGAATAAAGGTAATTTAATTAAATAAAATATTCCTTGAAGTGAACTGTTTTATTAACTGTTTGTTTGCTTCTCTATGTAATCAACACTATGTAGTCCACACAAACGTAGTTTATTTATTCAATAAACGTTATAATTATTTAATACTCGTTTGGATACGTCTTGCTATTTCGTTTAGAACATATGTAGCAAAGTATATGCTCGTACTGAAGGATAAGATGTTGTAACTCATTAAGAACAATCTTCGAACTTTATCGACCGAACCCTGACCTGGCATTGAATGTGATCGAGTTGCGAAGCAGCCCTGTCGTAGCTAGGCCTCCTGCCCATTCCTGGCGATATATTCCCTCGGGTCTCGGAATTGGTATACAGACAATTAGCGCGTCCCCGCAGAGTGCGAGCCATCAGTATGAAACTGGGCTGCGAGCTCCATGTACCCACCCTGGTTGGCGCAAAGCCTTTCTAAACCTCTAATGTCTTCGCCAGACAGCGTGAGAGTTGATTAACCGCAACACACACGACAAACCGAAACTCTACTCCCGTGATATGAAGCCACCACTGTCAGTGCAATGCTCCAACCATGTCCACCCGACCGAGGGACTGGGAACTCCGATGTCGCCCTGGACTAAAAGATCCCGGTCCACTGCGGCGATAATTCTTAACCATTCCCCTGCTCGCTGCTTTGTCTAGAAGAATAGCCCTATATTATATTAAACGGGAAATCCGAAATTTCTGGATATTAGGAAAACTTTGGCCTTTGTCTGAAATAATTTTAATTATAAAGTTGAAAGCTATATAAAAATAACAATTCAAGGCATTATTAAGGGACGAAGAAGGGTGCCTAGAAGTGTTTGATTTAATTTTGAGAAAAACAGGAAGCATACAATGCTAATTATATAGAAGATTTATATGAGATATACAGACTGGATTTGGCATTGTATATATTTATACATATAAATTACTACCCTAACAGATACTTAAAGCGCCCCTTGAAAAAGCCTGCATATCCCCTACATATTAATTTGTACCCATCGTAAAATTACAAAATGTCTTCTGTCTGCATTTTCCTCCTCACCTAAGATGTTGCTGTTTGTTGCATCCGTGTTTCAAGTTTTAACCATCTTATTCCAAGCTGGAAAACCCTTACATTTCACCCCGTAAATTCCAGCGAGCCTTGCATAAATATGTAATGCGTTGGCGGGCGATAAAACCAATAAGGGCGTGCAGCGGCCGTGATTTATCGCATTATTCGGCATTATTAAACGGTACCATTTGTATTCGTTTCGCAGTTCACAGTTTGCGCGCGCGGAAAATCGAGGAAACCCACGGAAAATGTACCATGGCCCCGCCACTCGGGATTTTCGTTCTGTATTTCAACGTTCTTGGACCGCAAGAGTTGCATGATAAACTTGGCATTGGAAATGCTCCAGAAGATGCCGGATAAAAGATCGCGTCTCTTCTCTCCCGATCGTTAGATGCACTTACGCGTAAACAACGACGTATTGTCAATATTTATTGGCCCAGTGAAATATTGCCAGTCCAACTCGACGTGATACTCCGTCGACGGTATCTGGGTCGAACGTGCCCCGTGATAAGGAAATTACCTTGTTAACGAATCTGCTACATTACGCGGGATTATTATTTTTTTATATTAACGAGTTTTCATTTCGTAATTCGGGTAATAAATTGCTGTTTTGGATGATATTACGTAACACTGTTACGGAGGATCATCCCACTGCGATAAGGAGATTAGTTTGATATGGAATCTGCTTAATTAGCTGCATTATTTATAAAATTCTACGTGACGAGAAAATTAATGAGTTTTCGTTCAATTTTACACTGGAATATTCGTGCTAATTAGTATTAATAAATTACTGTTGTGTGTTATTATGGAATATGATTACTTGTTTACTCTATACGACAAACGTGTCTTTATTAAATTTCACAGTAGACAAGGGATAAACATTAACAAAACTGCTGTTTAGGATCTTTTGTAATTTATTTGTTAGTAGTATTTACTAATAAAATAACTTCTTTCGTTGAAGGATAAAAATTCTTATTATTTTGCTTTTTCTTATTACTTCCAATGAAACAAAAAAATTAAAAGTGCATGTTATTATTAATTCATCTTATTTATGTAGGTATATGGAACTCATTAATTTTGTATAGATAATAGGTTTCTGTAAGACGGATACGTTAAGAAGCATAGTTTTGTAACATTTTCATTCTTTCAATCCTCTTCTCAAAGTTCTCATAAAAGTTTTTATTACATGTATACATGATACGACATTAATTTTAAACGACTCAACAAATGTACATAATAACATTGTTCCCAACATTCAGTCTATAAATAAATAGACATATTTTGAAATGAACCGAAAACTGGCCGAACTATAAATGTTAATAAATATTAGTCTCACTTATAAATGTGTCGTTAATTTATTTAAAATTCATATTTATCAAAATTCACTTTTATTAAAGTGGCCAACGAGTTTGGAGCATCCTGTATAAGAAATTGAACTTCCTACTCCGGCAATTCAACGTTCAACGCGATTTACGACCCACCTGATGTCTCGTAATCAAATTTCAGCGCCGTCCGTCCAAATAGTGGACGCCCTGGGTGAGCCCCTGAGGGACAAGTATTATGAGGCCGACAGCACCATCGAGCTATTGTGCGTTGTGCGACACATAGCGATGCAAGCGCAATACAGCGTCGTCCAGTGGCTCCACGGCAATCGAATTCTGAACTACGACACGACAAGGGGCGGTATCAGGTAACGCAAACGCTTAAATGTTAACTAACTTTCGTCCTTTGACCACCACACGTTCTGCACACAAACTTCATTCAAGCGATCTGGCCACACTGATTTCAATATTTCAGTGTTTTACGAAAATCAGCTTCTTTTCAAACATTTAATGTTACACAACTGCAACCCAATATTGTAACTAGTAATCGTTAGTATGCAATTCATATATGTAGATATCACAATTAAATACAGTAGAGTAGATGTGAAAGAAATGTATCACGTTAATGTACATGTCCCTTTCATTAAAATATGTGAAATGTATGCAATATGCAGGATAATATTTGCATACCAAAATATGTATTTGCATAAACATCTGCCGTCTACTAATTACTGACTCGCTGTATTTTAAGTTTGTTGCTGCTACATATTTGTATAAGATTTATATTTTATTTTTATCGAGACGTAGATTCAATGTGCGAATAACGTATACGTGATTTTTATTATTAAAAATAACTGGAATAGTATATATATATATATAATGCTCGTTCAAAAATTAAAATGATTTTGAATCCCTTCACACAAGTGATTATTCTAATTATGCATTTTAATTCAGAAATAATCCCATTCGAAATATTCTAAATTAAATTGTCATTAGGAGTTCAACAATTTCGATGAATACAGCAGAACGGTGACGATAGAAGCGAGTGAAAATGATTGAATTGGGCGAATAGAAAGAAATTGAACGATTCATATTTTTCGATTGTAAATCGAAAAAAATTTCTTCTAGACTTTTCAATATCTCCAAATAGAACAGAGGACAAGAATATAAAATCAGGCGAAATGACGGGTAATCTTGGTGCAGGTATTCGTAAAAAATATTCAACAGATGCGTCGGGAACGAATATTAAAAAAGATCAAACTTTCGCAATCGTTTGACATCCAAGATTGCGTGGTTGCAGAAAACTATCGGGAACGAACGTATTCTCTTCGACGTAGGAATTGAAGTCGCTCGAATTTTGCTCTCCATTGAGCATCATTGAATAAGTTTGGAGACGTATAAGAATTCATTACCCAAGTTTCGTATAATTTCAAACGCTTCGCCATTCGCTCCGTCTCCGTCGGTGGCGATTAAAGCGTGCTTAAATCGAAAGAAGAGGCTCATAAATTTAAACGAGTTTCGAGGTCGAGAACAATGATACGTGCATCAGTACATCAGCAACAGTTTTGTGGCAGTTCAACGCTCTGATACATTGCAATAATAAGAATTTTAGTCAATTTTGGATTTAACCTTGTCGATAAATCTTGTTTATCGTGACATTGGAGTGGTAGATAAAAATACAAAAAAAGAATGAGACCGAATTACCTGGAAACATGTGTAATTATTAGTCCAGTAATAAGAATCTTGAAAAAAAAAACAGAAGGCAGAGAAAAATTATTGCAATTTGACAGACATCGACATGTTTCTTCTGAAGTACTCCAACTCGTTACAGCCCAAAGCCTTCCTTTAAATAACTTGTCATTTCAAGCATATCATTGATCAAATTCTGCCGAGATTATTCCATTCTAAAGTTTTCAAAAATATTCCTTTCGCATTAATCATGCTTACCAATAATAAAAGCACCCATTACCTAAATAGACTAAATTATCACGAATCGAAAGAAGAAAAATACAATTGTAAATTACTCCAAGGATAATCATCCTGCAGCACGACAGAGAGAAATAGCTGCAACCTCACAGCCATCAAAGTCTATCCTCCGAGATTCTCGGTCTGATCGCAGCTCAAAGCCAGCCTTTGCATAACTTGTCGTACCGAAGATACGGTTGATCGGATCCTACGTGGCTCGTCATAAATCATGCACGATACCCGACTGAATGCGAAATCGCTGACAATCCTGAGGGCGGTCGTCGCGGTGCGCGCACCGGAACGGAAACGGGGTTGAGTTACGCTCGTTACACCCAAAGTTATAATCCAATGTCAACAATTCGAGGCTGCCTTTCCGTCGAGTCTCCGGGACGAGTTGATCCGCGTCGCGTACACTACTCTAGCATTGAAAGCGTGCGTCGGTTAGGCCAGTGGTTTCCAACAGGTGTGGCACGACACGTCGAGGCTGTCGTGACTAGAGTACGTTTACAAACAGAGGTTATTGTCGGTTGAGGAGATCGAATGTGCGCATGAAACTAATTCGGCTTGATAAGAGTCATTAAGAGAGGTTTATTTAGAAAAATTAATGAGCCGTTCGTTACACAAATCGATTAACCACTTTTTGAGAAATCTTTAATTTAAGTGTCGAAGAACTTGGTATAGCTTTTTATTGAGTAACGAGGTCAAGGCATATTTATCATACGTACAACTCTATATTATATTATTTATATATTATACTATGTATATTATACATGGTATATTAGTGTGTCTTTCTAATTAGAGGGAGGAGGAACAAAATAATTGTATATACAGTTAATAAAATTAACGCTCTCTTGTGGCATTTAATAGTTGTCTCCAAAAATTGGAATAAAATGATTCTTAACAACGAAGTGATTTTTAATAAGTCAATGATCAAAGACCACATTTTTGGCTGATTTCCCCTCTATTACTTCATGGATCATTTTGAAAAAAATCTGAGCCACTTCAGACAATGAGGTATATTTCACAAAATTATTTCAGATTTTTTAGTTGAATATCCACCTTGTGAAAAATATTGGTAAATTACTAAAAATACCCTCGTCAAATTTTGATGGGATGAATTAAAAATTTATGAAACATTTGACGTGCTAGATTATGTGACGTTATACCCATAACAGTTACCCTTAATAAACTGTCTTATTTAAATAAATACGCTAAAAATATCAGTCGTGACGTACACCTACGTTCCATTAATGGTACCCTTGCCCAACGTGAGGTTATAAAAATAAATACCCACGATACTTGGCACTTTGTGAAATATATCTGGATGCAAAAATGGTTGGGAAGCATAGGGAACTGGCGCAGATCCGATCGCGCGGGGATGACGTCCGGGAAACAGGGACAGAAGGGGTCCAGGTCGCGGGGAGGGTTGTCGGTAGCAGCACGACTGGCAAAGCGGAAGTAAAGTTAGACGGAGGTAAATGGAATTAGTTTGCATTGTTCACCCTCCGGTACATACCAGGGCCGTGTACATAGAGGCTTGGCCTCCACGTTTCCGTAGCATCCTCACTCCCTACGACCACTTCAACCTGCCGACAACCCACGTGGCCCGTGGAAACCGCAGATCGTAAACACGTCGCCGCAGGAAGCATCGTTTTGCCGCTCGTTATTTTTCTCGGCGATATAACCGTCCACCATCCAGCGAAATTTGAAGCGACGAGTTATTGTCGTCGCGGTCGCTCCTACGGCGAGTTTTAATTAACCCAGCTGCGGAGGATGTTCGACCACCGGATATTGAGGCACCGTGATCTTGCTTGGAACGGCTCGATCGTCGTTGGAACGAGACAAAGAGGAATGCTAACACCTTGAGGGTCCATCGACAGTTGTGTACGCGATGTTTTCAGACAGTTTGCTCGTGGCGACTACAGGGATCAGTCTGATGTTGATTCTTTTGAGGCGTGAAATTGGTATTGCTATTAGTTCTAAGATGATGTTTGATAGAATGTCAAGTGCGTAGATAGTTTTTAGAGATTGTTTGTACTACTTGAGTAATTTTCATTCCATTTTTCACGAAGGTTCAGTAGTCATTGAGTTTTTGGTTATATCTTTCTTGGACTCTCATTTCTTGCATACACATGGTGGTTGGACTTTGATGTTTTGAAAAAGTAAATTAATTGAACGTACCATCGCATATGTTTTCACGTTCAGCAAAAACAAAGGCTGAAGAACAACATCCCTTCCCACTGCATCGACTTTACTCTGAACGCTGCCGCCTCGCGAAGAATCAATCTCAATTCGTCAGCGTTCTAGACCTAATTTATTACTTGCGTAAATGTAATGGTTAATTTCTTGCTCGACGATGAGGAAATGTGATCCATTAATCGACCACTAGGTGTGTACATCTATTAAACATGATACACGATGAATACAAAGAAAAATGGAGGCTTGTGGCAGAATTTATTTTTTGTGTAGTAGTGTACAGAAATATAAACCAAAAAAAAAATGAAACAATCTGCGGTCGTCTGTCTCCACAATAGAAACAGATCGGAGCAATTATTCTGGTTGAATATAAAAAATGAATAGATACACTGTGTATTTAAAATAAACTATTCTTTATTCAAAGCCCAACTCTGACCTTTTGTACAATGGTACCCAAGGCCCTATGCAACCTTAATTCCTGTTTATAGTGATGGAATAAAAATCTCCAACGCAGATTGAAACGGCCAGTGGTGAATACATCAATCGGGTTAACAGTGCGGCAATTCAATCCCGTTTATTATGGATTCGCTGTGCAAGCTCGCGGATGCCATTTTTCACGGGGCGCTAAAATTACAGGGTCCCGCGTCACGGATAAATTTACAGTCCCGTGGAATGTTAATCCCATTACCTGAGCAGTATGCGTTCCATTCCACGGCTCGCGATGCAATTAGCAAGGTGGGGAAAAGTACATTCGAACGAAGGGGGAATGGCACACGGTGAGAAAAAGCACCGGCTGCCGGTTCATTAACGCGATACTGAAAGAAACCAGACAAAGATCGAGGTTGCTTAACGCCCGTGGATCAACGAGCAATCGTCCCGGAGCTGCAACCGAGCGGAGATAACGAACGGACAAATTGCAGCCCGTGGAAAGTTTTTCAATTAAACGCCATCCTCGTCCCGTCGTTCTTCCGCGAGCGAAATGGAGTGAAACACTGGCTGAGACGTTTGCCGTCAAATTTGAATGAAGTAGTGTATCATTTTCTTCCTTTTTTTTTTGCAGAATGTACCGGATCATCCCCCTAAGTAATAGCTCTTTGGACCGTGCAATCTATGGGGGCTTGGGTACGAAGTACCCAAGTTGCATGAGGCTTTTCTCTGGTAAATTTTAAACAAGGATCAATGGAATCTGCCTTAAGGGTGGTTTGTCTTTTACATTTCGAATGCTTCCAATTTTTTAGAGCAGACGTTGACGTCGATAATAATGTACTACTTTAAATTATTATTCTTAGATAAAGAAATATAAGACGCCACCCTTTCCTCCACCCGGATTCGAAAGTATTGGAGGACAGCAATGTCCCGATTTTTCCTCATTTTCTCTCCCCTAAATACCTAAAGAGCTCCCTATCGATTGGGACGATCCGTCGGAGATTTATAAACGCCTGGGAGCAATCGAGGGTGGAACGGGGATCAAAGAACGAGCGCTGCGAGTCACGAAACGAGGGCCAGCAAAGGGAATAACTTCGTCAACGGTGTAATCCTGGCAATTAATAACAATAAAGAAAGGGAGACGAAAAAGCTGGCGCAATCGGAGAGCAGTCGTTATTCCTAGCTGAGCCTCTCGCGCTATAAAGTCCCGCCTCGAAATTTTTTATAATTCCCCGGCGCTTTTTAAAACGGGCCAAAGATCGAATCGTCCAAAAAGAAACGAATGGCGAACGTTCGCTTTTATTCGTTGGTGTCACGGAAACTAGTGACGAGCATTAGGGGGATATAGTACTGGCGACACGCCGAAAATTGCGAGCTTTTTCGAAACGCTATGAAAACGAACCATTTAACTTTTGCTCCGAGGTGGATCCGTTAAAATCTGCCTTAAGAGTTGTTTGTCTTTTATATTTCGAATGTCTCCATTTACCTGATATTTGAGATTTTATTTTTGAAAAAGCATTGGATATGTGACACTCAAGTTTTTAGAGCAGATGGTGATATGTAGATCGAGGATATTTATGTAAATTCACATTTTTGTAGGTATAAATAATGAAGAGAAATTTAAATGAAAGCGTCTATTACCTTCTGAACAATGTAACAACTATGTATTAATTCTTAAAACAAATAACAATGTATTTTATTTTTAATTTTTTCTAATCTAATTATATATATATTAGTTAATCTAAACAGTGTCCGAATCTAATCTCCATTTATTCTCCAAAATTCAATTATAAAACTGTAGCTTATTTTCAAAAATGAGTTTTTCCTGTCCAGAACTTTAATACTGATACAAGGGTTCCATATTACCAGCATCAAAGCTGTTAAGTGGGTAATATTGAATGAAGATCAAACAAGCCATGAAAGAATAAAACCAAAAAAGATAGCATTAAAAGAAGAATTACTAGCAAGAGTGGAGCCAAACAAAAATATAAAAGTTACAAAATTAAAACGAATAAAAAAGGACAAAGCAGAGAATAGCTGACGACACGAAGAGGAAGTAAAAAAGATATTCATAATTAATATTCCATCGTTTCGTATGCTTTCTCGAGAAGTATTATACAGAAAATTCTACCAATTTCATGAGAGAGTCTTCTATCATGTAAGAAAAAATAATCATTTTAGACACTCTACAGGGAAAATTAAATCTCTTACAACTTTTCAACAGGTTAACAGGTATTTGTATGAAAATTATCAGAAATATTCTTCAAAGAACGTACTTTCAACACGCACCAATAAAATTTATATCAACCACTTCGTATCCTCGGAAAAAATTCCCAAACGTCAGCATTTTTCTCAGTCCCGATGGTATTACCCTTAAACACATAATAAAGAGAGACGGAACCAAGTGAAACGGGAATAAAAATCTGTTAGGCAATCTCGCAAAAAAAAATCGCTTGCACTCTCCACGTATGCTTCCGAGGTTGTGTCTGTCGGGAATAAAAGTCTGTCCGAGTTCAACACCGACGTATCGTATGTTCCAGCGTGAAAACGGACCTAATGGAAGAGGGGGCCAATTCGACTCTCAGCATAGCGAGGGTGGGACCAGCTGACAGCGGAAACTACACGTGCCATCTCACCACCATGCCTGATCAACCTGCCACAGTTCACGTACACGTACTGAACGGTGAGATTACTAAATATTTGCACGTGGATCTGAAAAAAAAACGTTCGGGAATTCACGGTAGAGCATGGTGTCAGTCGTGACAGGTAACGCAAGCCGTTCATTTGACAAATCGACTAAAACCACAAAATAAAACGTGGAGGTAGGTGACGAAGCGGTACAAATTGTTTTTTGAAATTCCATTTGAAGTATAAAATTTAAATGAAAGTATTTAAAGAAAATATTGTTGACTTTTCGAAATATATTTTCTTAAAAACAACGAATATATTCGATTAGTTTTTATCATTATCATTTATTACACAGATATTTATTAAGAATAAATTCTAATAAATGTTGATCGCTACCTATTTTCTAGATGCTTGATAATTGTCATACAAATATTAATACAAATGGTATATTTCTTTCAATTGTATTTTATTATTATTACATCGATATGTTAATAGCCAGATAGTGACGATTAGTACCATGACAAATATGTTTTTATTTTTACTACACAAGCAAACAATCATTCCAACAATGGTGAACAATCATGCTTATTGAAGAAATAATTCTTTTGATAAATACCCGTTACAAGTAAATAATTGTTGGTACACATTCGTTAGAAGGCAGAAAGTAAATTATTACTTGATTTAATTTTACTGAATCATGTTTGTATTCCACTTCAGGGGCACAGGATTAAAACAGAACCCGCGTCGTAGCGGTGATTACGATGTCCATTATGATTTCCTTTATAACGAAACACGTTACACTCCCGCGACATAAACACGCGTTAAAGTTAGTCAAAGGTTCCCACGGATTGACGTGTATGTTGCTACGCGAATATGCTTAACAAATCCACCCGGCTTCGCTTCCAACGACCCAGGTGTTCGTGCAACAGCGTTTTAATTAAAACTTCCGAATTCTTTTGTTTAGCTCTGTTTAATTTAAAGTTTCACGCTAAACTGGTGAAATAATTTTTAAAACTCGCTCTGACGTAAAATAATAAGCGAATTCCAGCCGAAATCGCAAAAATCCGAACGAACAACTTTCTGTGTACCTTTAAATGCTTCGGTCAGAAAGCCACTGAATGATCGTGAACGAGTTAATTAAGATTCATTGGTGAAAGGATCTTTAGAGCAAACTGGTTCATTCATAGACTAATTAAAATTCCCGCTAGTTGACGGACCTTTGAATACTAGTATCAGTGATATTCAATAAGGAAAATAGATGTGTTTACATTGTTATATAATTATTATGATTATATAATATATTTTATAGCTATTATGAAATATTTTTAATAGAAATATGTTTCTTCAATTATATTTTTAATGAATGTGTACTATAATACCATGTATTTGTTATTGATTAAGGAATTTGTTTGCCACCCCTTTTATTTAAATCAAGTTTTCCTTGTAAAGTATAATTGGAGAAATAATATTTTTAGTTAAACAATTTCGAATAAAATAATCAAGTTAAGATATATGAATTTCTGAGTTCACCAGAGTTTTTTGGCAATTACTTGATGAAATCTAACAAGTTTTGGCCAAAGTAATACCAAGTGGTCACGAGAAGCATGCACCTGCAATCTTTATAACGTTGACTGAATAAAAGTCACGTGGTAGCATTAAGTATCATGTAATATTTATGTATATCACGCTTAATTACAGGTGTGCGTGTCGAAAGAAGTAAGCGTAGTGTCGGGAAACCTTTACGACGTTGCTCTGATATTACAACGATCTTTAGTGCAATGCATAAAAAAACGATAGGCTGAATGAAACTTATTCTTATTATCTTGTGCAAGCATTATACTAAAATCTTTATTGGTAGTCTAATGATCCAACTGCTCAAATATTTATTTCACCAGATCCCCAAACGACAAACAAACGCACTCCTTTAATAAGATTTTATTAAGATTTCTTTTTATTCAAATAATATGCCACCTTAAGACAATTTTGTGGTAACAAGGGTTCATAAGTATTTATAATATAATATTTATTTCTTTATTCTATTTCTAAGTTCTTCGGAAGTTACAAATTCCCTCTTCAAATTCGTTCGAATTTTTCTCTCTGTAAATCTGCATATACGTGCATCCATACGTACACATGGAAATAGTATCGTGTTTTTTCCAATTCCGAGTTTGATTCGAAAGAAAATCCGGAATAATCAATTAACGCACGCGAATGAATTTCATCAACGGTGTTCTTTTCGCTTCCAGTGCCATTTTTCTACATTGTTCCATAGCTATTATTGTTTACAAGAAATACCAGTCGCAGAAGAGTTCGGGATTTCTGAATCCATTGAAACCTACAATTCGCACTTTCCATTCAGCAGGAAAACGAACGCGCTGTTCGTTCCATCGTTCCGTAGTTGCACTAAATACGAACCAGAACTACACGAGAAAAAAATTTCCTCGGATACGTGGCTGCCATTGCAATGTTAGCCTAAATTGCGCAACGGTGATTCTCACATTTTCCTTACGGTGGCACGATATTAAAACTTTCTTCTTTCCTTTAATTAGACCTGGCGCCTTGACCCCATAATCCAAGCAAAATATTTTTATTAAAAAGATTGGGCTAAGGGGTGGAATTTAGGATAAAATCGCGGAGTTGTTCTATCTTTTCTGGAAGAAGAAATAATGTGCAATTTTGCTACATATTTTCCAAATTAGCCCAAGATTTTAGCTAGGGGATTGTATCTTGTCACATTTGTATTTAGTAGAAGGGTAGAAGGTAGAGACAAATTTTACATTTATTTATGTACATATTTATTATCAAAAATTTATTTTGTAACACCAAACCTATCATTTAATTTCATGAAATGTCTTCGATAGACATAGAGAATACGAATGTATACGAGACTGTACGTATGTTATGTATGTATTGGGTTGTCCAGAAAGTTCATGCCAACTTTAAAGAAAAATTCAAAGGCACATTTGAATTTTACTATATATTTATTGAATTACGCAAGTACCATTTTGTTCCATAACCTTTTCACCTTTTAAGGGATGTATACGTGTTATTTGTTGTCAACCATTTCGATACATTCAGACCTATACCACCTACCAAAAATCGGCATGGACTTTCCGGACAAACCAATACATAATAAAATTTCGACCCAACCTAATGGTTTATTAATTATTTATTTTGTAACGAGGAACCCTTTTTGCCTAAAACCAAATATGACTCAATACCATTCACAGGTCATCCTCCGCTCCCCAAACAACCCTCCACCTTCCACCCCAAAATATAAACTCCCCTCGATCCAAAGTAGCTACTTCCGCCATCGATCGAGCCACGCTCCACCGCAGACAACTTATTCCCTTTCTTATCCCATCGGAGCACCCACTCGAGAAGTCCACGCTCGTTTAACACCCACACAGAGTCCAGTCGAAACGAGCAGACGCAACACGCGACCCTCACACCCTACCCTGAAGAGAATGGCCCTTTTCCCAGCGAGACCTCGAGCACCCTCGTGCCCATCCACCGATCCCTGCATCCAGAGGGTCAGGGGTCTGAGCACGGTCGTAAACCTGCGGTGTTTGAGTGTACGTACCGGTGTTTCAGGAGAAAGCTTAGCCGAGTTGCATCACGGGAGCGCAGAGGCCGTCGGAACCAGCGGCGGCGCCGTCGGTTCGTTGCTTCTGCTTCTGTCCGTTCTCCTCGGCTGGATACAACAGGTGCTCAGATGAAGGCCCGACGACGTTCGTTGCGTCCCAGGGAAGGCGTGAAACGAGCACCGCGACGCTCCGTCACGACGCCGGACACCGTCGTGACACGGCGCCGCGACACAATACGGACTTTTATATTATCGCTGAAGAATGGACGTAGCGGAGTGTGTGCGCGAACAAGAGAGCGAGAAAGAAAAAAACGGAGGGTGGGAAAAAAAAAATAATGTACGAACGAGAAGCAAGTCTAAGGGGTCGGGGGCGAGGGGAAGTGAAAAGAGGGTCGTAGCGTCGCGAGAGAATGGGGTTGCGCGCACGACGGGGCCGGGAGGGGTTGACAGCGCTGTTCCGGCATTGTTCTTGGCCCGATTGGAAGTGACTCTTTCCGCGTCGCTGCGCGTCAGTGTTTCTGTTTCGCGACTATCCCTGAGTCCTGTTCGAGACCCGACCAAAAGTGCGTCAACTTTCGAGGGTTTGTCTTACAGGTATGCCTCGTGGCCGTTGAGTTTTCGGAGATCGTGGTTGGTCTCGATGGTTTGCGAGAGGTGATAAGGATGTCAGGTAATCATTTGAAAGAATTGTACGTTGTTGAGCGTGTAATTGATGCGAAACGAGGACTGTCGGATTTCAAACAGCAGGATTTGGTCGTGTTTTTATTATAGGAATCCACCTTAGTCTCTGTGATGAGGGAGACGTCCAGTCTGATGGAGATTTGCGCAAACGTTGGTCCAATCTAGGAAGTATGTCGTATTTCGTTGATACTACTTTTTGGAGGAGGCTCTTTATCGGAGGCTGCAAGGTTTTTGTGTGTCTATACAAGTCTTGAATTATTAAAAATGTTGAAATTTGTTGGTAATAAAAATTGTCTTTGTGGGACTGTTCATATTAGTACTAAAGCGTGTTTTTATTCTTTTGCAACATACATGGTATAATTAGTTACCCTGAATTTTTGTCTTTGAATGGAGAAGATATTCATTGTAGTACATTGAAGGAGATACAGTATATACATACATACGTGAATTTTAACAATTTCAGTATTATTTGTTGATTTATTCTTAGCGAAAGGTTTCTTTAAACATAGACTAGTTTCTATGTTCAAATTGTGTTGATTGTGTTGTGTTCACAATACAAATACAGAAATAAAGTTTGAGGGGAATAAAGAGAGTTCAAATCAAAGATAAACAATATAGATATTGAATATTGGGTTAGTCCCAACTGATACACATTGGTAACAATAATAAATCAGATATTAAAAATGTAAATAATAAATAATGCGACTTCAGAGTAAAGTCCTATTATAAAGAATTAAAAACTGAGATGAACGGGTTGGATTCCTCCCAACTGATACACGTTGGTAATAAAAATAAAATAGAGATGAAAAATGTAGCAAACGGTCGTGTAGTTTCAAAATCACGCGTGTTTACGGAGAGTTTGGATCCGATGGGACGGGGTAGGTGGTTCCCTTGTGAGAAACGCTATGCCACGAATTTCCGTTCGCGCGTTCCACGACCACTGACGCGTAGATGACGCATAAATACGAGGCGCTAGGACCCCGAGGTGGAGGATACGGGAACCGCGTGCCACTGATTTCCCGCACGACGTGTGCAAGTAAACAACACCCTCGAATCGCGTGTTCGGAAACGGCAGTTTACCCCGTATATTTCCTTGACGCATTCACTGCCGCTCCGACATTTTAACACCCGCCCACTAGAAACTCATTATAGGATAATATCCTTCGAGCGAACATACACCACGGGATGAAATTATTGGACACCCCTGTGATGCCACTTGCTACTTTCAGTTGAACAATCGAAATGATGGGAGGAACGTGTTATGGATAAGGTTACTTAGTTTGGTTATTTATAAAGCACTCAGTTCACAGAACCTGTCATCGAGCCTGATATATTTTCTTTTCTTTGACTCTTTAATAGTATTTTAATCTTTTTTTTCTTTTTTTTATACAGTTTCTATAAAAGTATGTATTCCAGAGAAAGTTTAAATGGTGTGATTCTATTATTAGGTAGACTGGAAAGTAATGTCGTTTCTTTTACATTAAATGCAAACAAATTTTTAATAAATTTCTATAGATCCTGAACACCCTTAATAAACAATGAATGAAATCTTCTTGAATCTGAAATTAACTTCAAATACGTTAATAAGTTTTTCGGATTTAGTATAATATCATAGAAAATCCGTGAAACGCGCGATAGTTTTGAAAACTGCTCAAAATCCAAGGGGTGTTCAATTATTTTGTCGCGGAGCGTATCTCCGAGCCTCTGTTATGCTGTTACGCTCATTTTGACGGCTCGAGTGCAGGCTGATGGCTCGGTAGAACCTGAGTCGTGACTTCTCTCGCGAGGGCTGTTCAAAATTCACGAGGGCTGAACCACACGGTTCATTGTTTTAGGCATGTTTTTTAAAGCTCATCCCTTTGTTGCGTAATGGTCCAGTGAAAATCATTTCTGAGAAGTTCCCCGAGGAAATTTTACAGGATTTACGTGCGATGTCTTCTTGTGGAAACGTCTAGTAGCTCTGCAGTTTCAGCCACTTGTGTTTTAATTGAACTTTTTAATTAATTCATGACCGTTCGTGTAACAAAAAATTTCTTTTTGTAAGATGAAAATATAATTGTGCTACGGAGGGTTCACGAACCAAGTGTTTCAAGCATCGAAGATGTGGTTGATAAACGATCGAAGCATATGGAGCATCGAGCTGTTGTGTTTAAGAAGAATTTTATTAATGGAACTGTTACATTTAAATACAAATTCTATTACCAGGATCATTATAATATATGTCATTTAGGATGGCTCTACGAAAAGCGTCGGGAACAACAAAAAGAATTCGAAACCTCTAAATGTTCTTGCCAATCCCTGTTGCAAAGTAAGGGGTTAAATAATCCATTTGCGGTCGCACCTTTCATTCTCGCAAGAAACATTAATCTCCAGGAATATTGTGAATAAATACTTCAACTCTCTACGTCTCACAAATATCGTTCACGCACGATAAATTCTATTTCACAATTATTTCAGTTAATTTCGTTTATTACAACTATAACGAATCGTGCCTTCGGTAATGAAATGAAATAATTACAAACGATATAATTTAATGTACCCGTAGTAACAATACTATTAATTCAAACAATTCAGCAATGCTAATTTCATTTATGATCTCGTACGAAATAATTGCAAATTATATTAATTTCACCCAGTGTTACAAATTAAACGAAAGGAATTAATTTAATCTGCACGTCAAACGAGATGATCGTGAATAGGATTAACGTAGCAAGACGTAGGAGAATATGACGAATACCGTCGCGATCGAATTTACTAACTTTTCCGCGACCGCAAATGTAGAACATCCTCCAACGAAATTATATTTGAATCACAAATTTCTTTTTTTATCCTCGAGCATAGCGTGACGGACATGTCAAACTCATTTTCGCCCGAGGACCAACTTGCACTTTGCTACCATGGCGTGGGAGTTCGATTATTTTGCAGTAGTCTACAGTATTTCAAATTTCATTTTTCAAGATTACTTTTTTAAAGATTTACGAAATTACTTATTATTCTGAACATTGGAAAGTTATCTTCATTTTTAGGGTATTTTATTGTTTGTCACTGTTGAGAAAAATTGTTTAGGTAAATATGTACCCCTAAACATAAACAGAATCCCTATGAATAACATGGATAAAAGTGGGAAATTAAATATAAAAGAAGGCAGCAAGCTATAATGGATAAAAAATTAAAAAGTAATTTCCATTAACGTAACAAGTAGTACTATTACACAAAAGTGAAGAGTACATTTATAATAATAGCCGATTAATTTGAAGCATAAACTTGAACCACCCTCGCGAAAAACAGCTGCAGATGAATATTCGATACGGACCACTCGAGCGAGGCTCGAATTATCAGTATTATCTAGGTTTGTAAAGGACCCTGTTAACCCTTAAATAGCCCCACTCTAAACATAATTTACACACCGTTCCCTGTTCTACATTGGCAACTTTTTAATTCAATTAAAAAAATTAAATACACTATTTCCACAACAGGAAACAAAATAGTATTTATTTATTTATTCATGACTTAATAAGAAGAAATTTCCATTATTTATTTGTACTAAAATGACGAGCTACTTAAGGGTTAAAACGACGCGTAAAGGAAACCGGAAGTCTGAAAGATGACACAGACCGTTCGACCAAACGATATATCATTCCATCGTCCAACGCACGATAAACGATGGCAGGTTAATTGTTATAAAGTTGTATTCTCGTAAAATTACCGTTGTATAAAGCAGACTCGACTCGATTGGCAGCGAATCTCGAGAGAAAGGATGGTGTATGTGAGACTTATGCTGAATGTTCTTCACTGAAACGATGTTGTTTGATTAATTCGTGACATCGACCACTTGGTTCGCGAATATATCAGCATTGTCGCAGAATTTCCGCTCAGCTTAGACGCTATCGGTGGAAAATCGAGAGGCCAGAGGTTTTCGTGAAAGAAATTATTATTGACAACGATTTGCTCACTGGGGTAGAGTATGCATGTTATTATTGGACAGAAAATGATTGCTTAGCGAAATTACAATTGAAACATAATCGAAACAATCTTTGTTGGGTAAATGGAACAAGATCTTTTTCTCTTATTTTATTTATTTAATTTAGTAGGTTGGAAATGAAAACGTAATGTAAGCGCAAGAACATTGCATTATACATGTTTTATTAGTTAGAGTTTAAATAAAAAGCTGTGATTTATTTTAAATAAATTCATTGATTTGAAAGACTATGATGGCATAAAAATAAGAGGGTTAAAAATTGTAAATATAATAGGAATAATTCGAGCCTCTTTAATTATATAAATAACAAACAAAAATTGTGCTATTCAATCTAATGAATCTAATACGTAAATTTGCATACAGTGATTTTGTTCACTGTGTCTACAAAATATTTCAAATCGGATTTTCCAGAAAATCCGGTTAGGAAAAAAATTGTATTCCACACTTTTAAAGTGTCTTTTGCGGTCACTTTCTTTTCGATTTTACCATGCAATATCATCGCTGGACTTTGTAAAAAAAACGAATCGATTATCGGAGATGACTGTAGACATTACTGATATCATATTCTTCCTCGTACAACGACATTGATCACGAAACGTTTCACTTATTAGCTAATTGATTAGTCTATTCTCGAACAACACGCGACAGAAATGACTAACTTAAATACAAAGATTAGCGTCGTTTGATAAGGGAAGGAGGTATTCGCGAATCAAGCTGAAACTGTAAATTAATGAAAGTCGCGAATAAAATTAACGATAGTCCCTGTCACGGATTAATGGTTCGAACATGTGTTAAGCGTTTCCTCGCGCGATTCAAAGGACTGTATATCAAGGAACGCGAAAGTATATTAGAGAGAATGAGTTATCAACTGCCAACCTGATCCTGAGCTCATCAATTAGTGATTCGCAGCGAAGTTTTAAGCGAAGGCAGAGCGACACGAAAATGCCACGTGTTTTACATAAAGTCGTTTGTTTCTTTTTTTCGCCGACGTTCGTTAATATAACATATGAAAGAGATGGAGGACGCAGACAGTTCACGAGTAAACGAAATGTCCTCGTGTCGGGGCAGATCGCACAGTAATACTTGAATTCGACGTAAAACTCAAAGTTTTCTCCGATGGCGAGATTATGAAATATACGATATGCGTTTTACAAGACTTTGTTTCTTGATTTCGTGGCCCTCCACTTTCCCACCCTCTTTCCTTGGTCCTCTTATCCAGTAATCCATGATTCGCCAAATGATATTCGTAACGAGTGAAAAAAGTGTCTTAAATATTATTTGTTACCATTGCTTCAAATTATTCGATAGTATAGAAAAATATGAATGCTTCTAATGTGAAAACCACTGAAGCATCAAGTGTCTGTCAATCACAATTTTCCGAACATCTATAGTCCATCCTTCTTATGCTCTAGCTAAGAATTCAGTCCTTTTATTTTTCTACATTACAATTCTCACATTCTGAGTATTACTTCTGCTCGATAATGATTTTCTTGTCGCCATTTCTAGTTTTTTTTTAGATGCTGACTGCAAAATGTTAACTATATAGATTTTACTCCAACAATGTAACCTGATAACACAGGTAAGTGACACTGACTGTATTACTGTTGAATAATTTCTATCTCACTGCCAGATTAACCACATAACAAAACCTACCATTTTACATTGAAAATAGAGATTCAACATTATTTCTGTAAAGATATTTAAACTTTGAAGATATCAATCAGAGAGTGATGTATAAAAAATTGATCATGATTACCAATTATTCATCACTGGCCATTATTCTATATCAATACTCGTGGATTACATTCCACACAATACTGAAAATTGCGTATTTATTTCACAGAGAAATATGCCCAGGCATTTCGAATTGGACGATAGAACAAACCGCAGTACGCGGCGTGAATGCTTTATTTGCTAAATACAACGGATATTCGCAAAAGTCTACAAACCGTGCAAAAACACCGTATTCCGAAATCAATTTCTCCTCCCCTAAAATTCTATAAAAACATGTAGTTGCAATCGAGCGAAATTCCTAACAACTTTCACCCATATGTCGACGTTTCGTCTGGCACAAAACGAAACCTCCAGAACTGGAAGCTACGAAATCAGCGCTATTGCACCTCGCCGAAGTATCGCGCCAGCCATCTTCAACCCCCGAATCCTTCTTCCGCAATCCAGTCACCGCCAGCGCTCTCTGGAAATCGCAAGAAAAATATTTCTCGGTTCTCGTCCACCGTCTCTCGATTTTGGGTACGTATTTCTCCGGGTCGGTGGTGGATCGGCAGAAATACGTCATCCTAAACTTACACTCGAGACAAGATTGCGCCCCTTCCACATCGGAAACGTCCACTTTAGCCCGATGGCTTGGACAAACTGGCCGCAGCAACGAACGAGTTCCAACCGAAATCCAGGTAGCCGGAGATTGAAGTTCCAGGAGGACACCATCCGCGAGGAAACTACCTACGTGCTCGGGATCGTACTGTACATAAGGGAGTCCAACGGAACGCGGGGGGGAAGTTGATCGACGCTTGGACAGATTGGACGTGGCTCCATCGATCCACGTCGATTCTCCAGGAACTCTATTTATCCCACGAACAAGGAACGCTTCCGCAACGGACTTCGCTGCGACAATTTCGTTTTCGCGTATGCTAGTGCCGCTGGAAGAGCTGTCGCGTGATGGAGATACTTGGATGGAACGTGACACTTTAGTTTGCCACTTGTTTAGTTTGGGGTTGGAGAGTAGGGAGCAGCTGTAAATAAATTTGTGCGAGGTGGACGGATTGAACTTTTGGCTTGGGCTACTATTTCGAAATGAAGAATCGAAGGAAAATGGAAAAGTGGAAGCTCTAAAGATAGAAACAAAGTGTTTACATTCTTCCTTAAAGTAAGAACGTGACACTTTAGTTTGCCACTTGTTTAGTTTGGGGTTGGAGAGTAGGGAGCAGCTGTAAATAAATTTGTGCGAGGTGGGCGGATTGAACTTTTGGCTTGGGCTACTATTTTTATCTAGAACTGTGGATCAACAAAAGTGTCGAAATGAAGAATCGAGGGAAAATGGAAAAGTGGAAGCTCGAAAGATAGAAACAAGATGTTTATATTCTTCCTTAAAGTATCGATGAATTCGAGAAGGATGAAAATCGGTTGAATGGCGTTTAGACGACTTCAATTCGAGAATGGCCTTAGGCTGACTTTAGTTTTCGAGCGATCGCGTGCCTGTCGATCTTTTCTGCCGTTCGAGTTCCATGCAGCGTAAAATCGATTGCGAACTGCCGCATGAACAGACAGGAGGGCTGATTAGACGGGCTCTTAATGTAATTCCACGAAGAAGCTTGCTCCATTCTGGGTCAACTTCTTAAATATTTCATCGGGGTAACACTTGGGGAAAGTGCACTTCTAATCGTCTGATACTCACAATCGAGAAATATAAAACAGCCAATCTGGATGATATTTTACATGAAATTCGTCTTGGGACCTCTTTCTAAAATTAACAAATTCGAATTCAAACACAAACAGAAAAGAAATTGTAATTATAATATTATTATAGTATCTTAGTTTGTCCTAATCTTTATTGTATCATTGTACTTTGAATATTTACAAAGGGTATGAAATATATTGTATATGTGCATAATTTTTATTCTATAAGTCACAAATCGAAGGGTTGTTTACCTCTTTTTTGTTATTCGGTATGTAGATGATAATTCTGCCAAATTTTTGGTTTATCCTTGGCAAAGAAACGTCCAATTCGA